GTGTATAAGAGACAGGCTCAGCGTGGTGAGTCCGGGCTGCCGCGTGCTCTCACCGGAGAGCGGCGGGTTGGTTTCGTGCCCTCCGGGAGCACGGAGAGTCATAGGCGTGTGTGCCTTAACCCCGGCGTGGGGGATGTAACCTGCAGGGACAAGGGGCATGCCTGAGGGAAAGCTTCCTTTATTTTTAGTAAGCGAAACGTTGAGTTGATTTTATAGGTGGTGTCGTTGTTATATACCCTTGAGGAAGTAATCACCGATAAATGGAAAGGGAGGTAAAAATACCCTAATCGGCACATAAAGGATTCGGTCTCAAACCTCTCATATTTGCTAACCAAATTCCTGTCGTTGCATCTGGAGAGAATTAGAGGCTCATTGGTTTGAAAAGGGTCCTTAAGACTAATTCAATACAACTGGAGCTCTTCCAAGAGAGGCTGAATTAGGTGACAAAGTGGTGTAGATTTTCTTACCGAGTATTCCTTTAATCTCATTGACGCTATTGTACCGGGAAGAGGTCATACTTGAGTTAGTTCATAGTTAGGTTTTGTATTGCAATTCCACAACTAAGAAGATAAAGCTTCTGTTTTGTTTGGACTTTCTGTTTCCTTGAGAAAAAGCTCGAGTTTGAAGCTCCTACGCGTGCCGGGCTGTTACTGTTTGACATTTTTCCCGCAAACGCCGAACTGATTTATTGAAAGGTAATTGGCTGCTATTTCATTTCCTTGAGAAACTATTGAACAGCGGAAAGTGCGTGATTCTGTGACAGTATCAGCTGAGGGACGGTTAAGAGTCTTGCCACTTCTTCAGTTTGCCAAAACAGATGCGATATCCCCCGTTTTTACAAATACGGTTGCATGAGATTGCTACCTCTAGGCATTTGCTTTTGTGTGGAAGCAATGGGTCTGTAGAATGAGGAAAAGAAATCTTGTTTCCAAAGGGATAGTTAAGAAAAAGTATAGCCTATAAATCACGCTTGGGTATGATCTACAATGATTCATTTAGTCATCTGTACGTTTTATAGGGGCCGAGATTTAAATAATAATAATAGCTGAGGTTTTTTGCTCTCTACCTTCATAAATTTATGTCAGGTATCCTGGGGCCAGAGTTTGCTGCTCTTACAGTTGTGACAATGCAGAGTCTTTCCAGTCATATTGTACATACTGGGGATATTGTCATTCATTTGCACTAATAAGTTTAAACCCGTTCAGATCAGTGATGTGCTAAATGCCTGACTGTTGTGCTGAATCTGAGGTCCTTTTAACGGTCACACTAGATCTGGATAAATATGAATAAGACCAGATCTAAACCCATGTGTGCTCTTTCAAAGTACACATGCTGCAATACTGTCTGAAATTCACAATGAAAAATAGTGATCTGTATTTTCGCGGTATTTACTTGTGTAAGTCTGCTCAAACTCTCACAGGCTTCACTGCGTATAGGAACAATTCCAACGTCTTTATCCGACTTCAAAGTCCTCAGCACAAAAGGCACTTGGTGACACTAAATCGAACAAGGTGACACCAGATAAAAAGTGTTGATGTTGTTTTAATGATCAGTACAGTAGGAACAACGGACTTCAGAAGTATTTCAGCTATATGATTTAGATTGTTATTTTATGCTCTTCTCAAGTAACTGGTTTAGGTTGTGGTGGGACTGCCCACATAGGAAGTGTCAGGTACATATGTGTTTGCAGGTTTAATGACAGAATCTACATTATTTGCAGATTAAGAAAAGACACTGGCAGGATAGTGATGTATAACAGCGTGACTGCACTATTAGTGGACAAAATTAAGTACCTGAATACATGACATGCACTGCAAGTTCAAGAATTGCATGATATATGTACTGTCAACTTCAAATGTTATTGTACTCTGAATTCCTGATCAGTTGGAGTCTTGCTCTGGATTAAGAAATGTAGTGTTTGTCCCTTTGAATAGGCTTTTCGTGATACAACACAACTCTTTGAAATACTGGCCCACTGAGAGCCAGTGGGAATTTTTCCACTGACTGTCAAAGGGCAAGATATCACAAATGTATTTTTCTGTTGAAGGAATTATACATACATCACCCATCCAGTCTCTTGCATTCTGAAGTCTGTTGGCAGCCGTCTTCTGATAACTTCTATTACTTTTATTATTTTCCATTATTCTATTACTTCATTATTTTGATAACTTCTATTTGAATGCTCAAGTTAAACACAAACCTGTGTGTCTCATTCTTGGCAACTAATGTCTAAATAAAGAGACCTACTCTGGAACACAGTATTGCTCTGTGGGCTGTCTGGGCATTGCAATCCAGATTTAGACTAGGATACAATTAAGAACAAAACTGAAGGAAGAAAGCACACTAATACATTTCCTTTGCCACCAATATAATTACTAATGTAGTTCTATATTCTCTGTGTTTGAGTTATTCAGCTGCTTTGAATAGCATTCCTAGCATGTGCAAGAGCTGGGTAGGATTGAGCCCACAGGAGTCCACAAAATCATACCAATAAAAGGTTCAAACCAGTCCACAGCCATGTGGAAGAAACTATTGCTATCAATATGTTTTTAATACTAACATGTTTACGGTGATATTTAAAAAGTATATATCTCGTCACTTCTATAGTAAATACTGAACACAGCGTAGGCTATTTATGAAAGCGTTTGAAGGAATTTCTCCAGTGAGAAGTCCAAGTCTACAGTTAGGAATACAAAGTATAATTTCTCTTTAAGAAGTAGTTCCCATCTGCTCCCAATGTGTTTACAGTGTTCTTGATCTAGCAAAATTCCTTTTGTGCTTCTGATTAGCTGTCACTCCTATAGAGCATGTACACAATATTGGCATTACCTCAGTGTTACAGTCACCTCTGTTCTAAAAGCTATGTCATTGGCTTTCATATGTAGTAGTTTCCTTGGTTAAGCTTTACACTTATAGAAAACAGTCTCTTAGGTGCTCGTGTAACTGTTCTGTTACTGGGACATATTTTCAGTCTTTGGTGTAGCAAATTGTCAGAGCTCTGGAATTAACTATATCTTTGATACCACTGTGTCAAGGAAGGAATGAATACTTCTATTACCAAAACAGATGTGAGTTGACAAACAAATAACTCTTAATCAGTAAAATAAATCTGGAAGTGGTTTTGTGTATGTGTTTATGTGTATTAGACATGTAATAATATATATAATATTTCTATGTACATATGTACAGTATATGCGGGTTGGCATCATGCTGACTTTTATTATTCCTAATGTATCGACTAAAGAGAGAACATGTACGTTTTAAAAGAGATTTTCGAAGTAAATTAGTCCTAAACCTCACCCTTTGTTTAGAAAACTGTGAGTCATGTATGTTAATATTTTAAATTGAACACATTTGAATCTTGTTTCCTTTTAATATTTAAAAGAAAAAGGAGAAAGCTTTCCATGGCTGTGCACAGCACATTTTTTTTCTTTTTTGTACTCACGTTGGCAATTCTGATGTTTTCAGTGTAATACGCTTGCACAAAGAGCAGCAGAAATTGGCCTATTTACTTACCTGTTATCTTAAGGGAGAATTCCACAGCCAGTGCAGTACAATATAAGATCTTCTTACTAATTTTTTTCCATTGGAGCCGTTATTTTTTTTTTGTTTCCATTTGTTTTTAGAAACACTTTTTCTTTTTGTCCTGTTTTAGAATCTGGGCAAAACTGGAAGGCTAAACTTTTGCATTTTCTAAGTCTTGGCTTCACAGTTCTCTCTCATGCGTATCTGCCTTAGCCTCCCAAGCTTGCTATACTGTTTACATTTTCCCAGCAAAGCCATTCTTTTTCTGTCCCAGTTCTGTGCAAACACTTTCAATCACTGCTGCAGTATACGCTGTCCAAAAGAACAGAAGTGATTTATTTAGCGTTGCTTTTCCTTGGAAAGATGCATTTGAAATGCACTTAACTGAATGTAATGCATTTAAAAAAGACTTTCCATGAGAGAATCAGTGTACTCGCTTCAAGAAGAGAAAACAGATTCTCAACTGGTGTAAATTTGCATGTGTCTCTGAAGCTGTTACCTTTTAATTATAGCATAGATGTCACCCAAGACTTTTCTGACAGTTTTGGCCACTATTAGGCTGTAGCTGACCATTAAGATGCTAATTGAATTTTAGCAAAATAAACCAATGTTGTATTTCTGGATTTATGCCTGGATCATGCAGGCCTTATTTAAAAAACATTCTAAACAAAATTAGTGACAGAGTTTTGTTTAATGAAGCCTGTACCAGTCTGACTTCTCTTATAACACCAAGGACAAGGAGCGAAACACAGTCATAAGTGATTTTCTTAAAACTATTATTATGTTCAAAGCACCTACCTCGTATACTGTTGTATGCCATCAGCTGTGTTTAAGCTGAATATCTTTTTAGTTCCTAAAATCTATATCATCTTTTCCACATGTTCTTTGATAATTCTCAGCTTGGAAGCTGCACAACCTTGATGCTCGTATGGGCATAAAGTATCGCTCTTTGTATGACCATTTAGATTTTTCCCTCACTTTTTTCCTTCCCCATTACGGTGGTAAAATCTTGGAAATTAATTTTAATAAACTTAGTATTATTCGAAATTTGCTAATGCTGATAGAGCTTCATTAAAATAAAGCAAAAGATGTACCGAGAACAAATTTGTTATAACAAAACTCAGTTGTTTCAGGCTTTAAAATATTTTTCGTATTAATTTTATCATAAATGAATATAGTTTGTCTCCCAATATATAATCCTTCCTGGACAGAAATTTTAAAATACACATTTCAA